CTCTGGCTTTGGCTCCAGCATCACCGGTTCCATCACTGGTACCAGTTCCAGTGTCACCAGTATTGGTTCTGGTATTGGCTCTGGCATCGGCTCCGGCATCGCCAGCACCGGTTCTGGGTCCGGCACCAGTATCAGGTCCAGTAGCACCAGTATGAGCTCTGGCGTTGGCTCCATCACCAGCACTGGTTCCAGTATCACCATCCCCATCCCCAGCATGGGCTCCAGTACCACCGGTATAACCAGTATCAGCTCCAGTATTACCAGTATGAGTCCTGGTATTGGCTCCATCACCAGCACTGGTTCCAGTATCACCGTCCCTATCACCAGTATCCGCTCTGGCTTTGGCTCCAGCATCACCGGTTCCGTTACTGGTACCAGTTCCAGTATCACCAGTATTGGTTCTGGTATTGGCTCCAGCATCGGCTCCGGCATCGCCAGCACTGGTTCTGGGTCCGGCACCAGTATCAGGTCCAGTAGCACCAGTATGAGCTCTGGCGTTGGCTCCATCACCAGCACTGGTTCCAGTATCACCGTCCCCATCACCAGTATCAGCTCCAGTGTCACCGGCTCCATCACCAGTATCAGGTCCAGTATCACCAGTATGACTCCTGGGATTGGCTCCATCACCAGCACTGGCTCCAGTATCACCAGTATGAGCTCTGGCATTGGCTCCAGCATCACCAGTTCCATTACTGGTACCAGGTCCAGTATCACCAGTATGAGTCCTAGCATTGGCTCCATCACCAGCCCTGCTTCCAGTATCACCATCGCCATCACCAGTATCAGGTCCAGTATCACCAGTATGAGCTCTGGCGTTGGCTCCATTGCCAGCACTGGGTCCAGGATCACTGGCTCTGGCATCGGCTCCGGCATCGCTGGCACCAGTTCTGGTACTGGGTCCAGTATCCCCACCACCAGCATCAGCCCCAGTATCACCAGTATGAGCTCTGGCATTGGCTCCATCGCCAGCACCGGGTCCAGGATCACTGTTCCCATCACCAGTATCACCAGTATGAGCTCCAGCATTACCAGTATTGGCTGCGGTACCAGCTCCAGTATCACCAGTTCCATCACTGGTACCAGTTCCAGTATCACCAGTATGAGTCCTGGCATTGGCTCCATCACCAGCACTGGCTCCAGTATCACCAGTATGAGCTCTGGCATTGGCTCCAGCTTTGCCTGCTCCAGCATCACTCCCAGTATCACCAGTATCAGCTCCAGCACCATCAGTATGAGCTCTGGCCTTGGCTCCAGCTTCACCATCCCCATCCCCGACACCAGCACCGGCTCCAGTATCACCAGTATCAGCTCCAGCACCACCAGTATCAGCTCTGGCTTTGGCTCCAGCTTCACCAGCTCCAGCACCAGCCCCAGTATAACCAGCCCCAGTATAACCAGTTCCAGTATCACCATCCCCATCACCAATACTGGCTCCACCACCAGCAACGGCTCCAGTATCAGTCCCAGTATCAGCTCCAGCACCACCAGTATCAGCTCCAGCATTACCAGTAACAGTCCCAGTATCACCAGTATCACCAGTATCAGCTCCAGCATCACCAGTATCAGCTCTGGCATTACCAGTATCAGCCCCAGCATCACCAGTATCAGCTCTAGCATTGGTCCCAGTATCAGCACCAGTATCACCAGCTCCAGCACCAGCTCCAGTATCACCAGCTCCAGCAACAGTCCCAGTATCAGCTCCAGTATCACCATCCCCATTACCAGTATCACCAGTATCAGCTCCGGCATTGCCAGTATCTGTCCCAGTATCACCAGTATCAGCTCCAGGATCACCAGTATCAGCTCTGGCATCGGCTCCAGTATCACCAGCTCCAGTATCAGCCCCAGGATCACCAGTTCCAGCTTCACTGGCTCCAGTATCAGCTCCAGTATCAATCCCAGTATCACCAGCTCCAGTATCAGTCCCAGTATCACCAGTATCAG